TGACTCCTCCATGACCCCTCTACGACCCCTCCACGACCCCTCCACGACCCCTCCACGATCTCCATGGTCTCTTCATGGTGCCACCATGGCACCCCCCTCCCGGCCTCAAACAGCAGCAAACGAAATACAAGAATTCTCTCTCTAAAGGGCGGCCCTCAACGGGCCCTCTACGGCCCGGCTCCACCTGACCTCATCCAGCACCAAACGGAACACTAGAATTCTCTCTTTGTCAAGAGGGCGCTGCTTTGACTGCAAGAAAACATGGCTTCAAATTACTTCAAAAAAGGAGGCTCTTCAGCCACTCCATGTAGTATATTCTAGCTCGTAATAAACGTCTTCCTCTCGAGCGATGCTGACGCTTGACGCGTGGCGCGTGCGCAGTGTGCCCCGTGGGCCGCTTCGGGGAGTCGTGCGCGCACGCGTGCGGCGCGTGCCTGGGCGACGCCGAGGGCGCCCCGGGCGCCTGCGACCCCGCCACCGGCGCCTGCCCGCTCGGCTGCCGCCAGGGCTTCCTGCCGCCGCTCTGCAAGCAGGGTGAGTGCGCTGCCCTCCGAGCTGGACTTTCAAAGGCTTCTTAGACCTTTCCACGTTCTAACCGGAAGATGTGGCTCAGGGCATCGATGTCCCTGCCATGCCTCTGACTGACAGGTCCGAGGTTGCAGAAATGTCGACACTGGCTAGATAGTTAGGTCCAGTTCTGTCCTGGCTAGATAGCTAGGTCCAGGCTGCTGCTGTGATCGGTAGTTGTTCGTGGTTCCTCCGACCAATACCAAGCGAATGCCACATGAGCCATGGACAGCGCGCGGTGTTTCCTTCGTTTTCTTTGTCCTATTCTCGCCCCTTACTTACTCACACTTACCCTTACATGCACTACACTACCACACAGACCGGGAGCTTAGAGCTTCTTCGGGCCTCTGGAGGGAGATGCCTGATTGGGGGATATCGCACCATCCAGTCGGGGAAGTTCACGTCCACACACACACGGCCACTCTCTCTCTCTCTCTCCTTCTCTCTCTCTCTCCTCTCTCTCTCTCTCACACACACACACTCACTCACTCGAGGAACAAAATACACTATACTTACGGGAATAATTACCATAGCAGTTGACACGCCCGATGTCATTAATCAATCCTCATTTTAATGGTCCCTTCTACGAACTTTGTAATTTACTTGCCCAGGAACAAATCGAGAGGATTTGAGCCATATATAAAGTTGGTAAAGTCTCAACTTGTTTGCCCAAGTGTGGCATAGCGCCATCTCAAAGTCTGAGTGTCGTGCGCATGCGCAGAGCTGGTGCGCCTGAGGGAGAAGCCGGTGGTGCGCGCGCTGAACGCGTCTGCGCTGGAGGTGGCGGCGGACGCGCGTCGCCTCGTGGGCGTGGGCGTTCCGCACGCCGCCGTCGTGCAGTTCCGCCCCGACGACGGACTACAGGTACGCACTACAGAGGGCAAGCAACCACGGTGCTGGCTGGCTGGCTGGCTGTGGGAAGCGAGGTTTAATTTATGCCACTTCATATGCAATTTGTACCTCAGCGACAATGGATATTGAAGTCTCTCGTTTTACATTATGGTTTTCCAATCTATCCTTCTTAATCTTCATTACTTTATATTTACTCCCTCATCACATCATCACAATCGCCATCACCACCATCTCATTCTCCGTAACCCTGACCCTCACTCTCCCCTCCACCCTTCTCCATCACTCTTACACTGTATCCCACCTTGAACAACTTTCCCTCCAATCACACTCTTGTCTCATCTATCTCCTCGCCAATCATTCAATCACCATTATTCACATTTCACTCTTTCCACGTCTCCTCCATTATTTTCATTCTCACTCTTCCGCTCTCTCTCTCTTTCTCTCTCTCCCTCTCTGTCTCTATCTTTCTATCTCCCACCCTTTCATTAAATTCACCCTGACTTTCTCTCTTCTCTTCGATTACATTTGCCCTTAATTTCTCTAACTCTATCAACATCATCCTCAATTTACCAATTATCCTCAGTCTTCATTACACTCTCACACTTCACTTCACTTCACAACTTTACTACTCTCCCCACCTTATCTCCCCATCACACACTTCCCCCTACTTTCTCCACTACCCCTCTCTCCACTACATCACCATCCTCACTCACATATTCTCCACTCCATCTATCTCATTCATCTCCCCTCTTCCCCACCCCACCTATCACATTCACACTCACCCTCGCCCTCCACGACACCCACTCGATCAGCATCATTCTCAACATCATTTTCTTCCACCTACTCTATAATCCTTAACCCCTCTGTCTCCTCACTGCCTCCATCTTACTTTCTCTACAAACCGCTCAATCATCTTCACGATTCTCTTCACTCTCTCTTCCACTCCCTCCATCACTCTCACTTTCTCCCCACCCCATTCCTTGCATGACCATCATCACTATCGTTCTGGAAACTAATGAGGGTCGTAGAGCGGACCTTTCCTCTCGTCGCTCGCGTTGACACCTTCTGATGCGAGTGCGGTTTGTTTTGTTGTGGCGTATTATGTTGAGGTTAGGTATATCTCTTGCGTACTCGGCTGTGATCGTCCTAACTCAACAAAGTATGTCATAATATTACTCAGAGAAGCATGTGAGAATTGTGGAAGGTCTCGTGACAATGAAACTGACGTGATCAGTGTATATTTCACGTATTCTAATTATTTATTGAACTAAATGAGACGAATGGTTGTTGCAGAATGAGCTATTATTTATTTGCTAACATTCATTCAATTTGAGTATTTGATTTAGTTCCTTCTTTTTATAATTATTTAGTTATTTTGAGTGATAATTTTGAACTTCAGGTGCACGTGTCACTAGTTTGCCATAATGTACCAACGCCACTTCCCCCACCCATAAGTCTCAATCGCCAACTTGTTTCACTCGCCCCGCGAGGGTCGTCGGCTGAGCGGTGCGCTGTCGCAGGGGCTGCGCGAGGACGCGTGGCGGTCGTTGCCGCCGCGGCCGCTGGCGCCGCCAGGCGGGGAGGCGGGTGCAGTGGTGCGCGCGGTGGTCGCGGGGCTGCGCGCGGGCGCCGACTACCGCGTGCGCGTGCTGCTGCTCACCGCCGACGGCGCCTGGTCGCCCCGCGCGCCCGCCGCCACCGGCACCACCGCCTGCTCGGGTGAGCCTTTCTTTGCACGACACCGCCAGCCACTGCGCTCACCCCCGCGTTTGTTCAACAGGTTGTAGTGGGAGCACGGCATCAATATCTTTCAGCTGTAGTAATAGTAATACTAATGATGATAATGATAATGATAATGATGATGATGATGATAATGGTGATAATAATAATAACAATAATAATAATAATAATGATGATAATGATAATGATGATAATAATAACGATGATAATGATAATAATAATGATAAGAATAATGATAATAATAATGATAAGACTAATAATAATGATAATAATAATGATAATAAGAACAATAATAAATTAATGTTCATTGAGTTTCGAGTTTATTGCCTCACTTCCAAGTAATCATGAGCTACATATTTACAATACTAAACTTTAGAATATTATAACGGAAATAACTTCTACTACAACAACAACAACAACAATAAAATATAAGAATTACCTACATTTATCTACACAAATCAACCGTTAACATCAATTGAATCGTTTATTTCAGAAACTCGTTAAAC